TTTTAATAAATTTAATAATGTCCGATGTGGCATTTAAAATGGTATCATAAAACGTAGTATGTATACATGCAGAAAGTAATTGTGCAATGCTGTCGAATCCACATGTATTTATTACGACAATTCTCTCCTTTCCATCTTTTATGGATTCACATAAATTTCCATTTTGCAACAATGCCAGATCAATTTTTTTTCTTTTGCATTCTCCTACAAAATCAGGTCATGGTAGGAGGTATGTTCTCTTAATTGCTTTTGTATCATTTTTATTTCGCCAATTGTGTTCGTCTTTTAAATCGTAATATTCACTAATTTTTCGTACGATACAGTATCACATTCATAATTTTCTTGTTTGTCCGTACTAGAAGTGTTAATTTGTACTGTGTCGTTATAAGTTGTGTGAATATCTCTATCTATCTGTGGATTGTCATTATATGTAATATGTGCGAGCTGAATATCGGTGCATAATTAATGCATTCACATTTATTTTAATTGGAGTCATACATTACGGTCGACCACCTGGACACTTCACTTTCTATGTGTTGTACGGAGACAAGTGGATACTCTTCGACGATTTGATGAGAAAATGTCGAACAGTCAGTGAGGAAAATAAAATCAACCCAGTAGTTTGCTTATATATAAAAACAAAATAAGAAAAAAAAAATAGAAAGTTTCATTTATTATTTGAAAAAACGCAAACTAGAGTAAATGAATTATTTAAAAAAGTTAATAATATAAAGATTAGGATAGAATCAACGTGTGTGAATACAATTTTCTTTTTATTCCAACTAATGCTTTATTATTAACAATAATATTCATTAAAATATCTTATTAATAATAATGTCGCTTTATTCCCTTGCGGGGTACACAGCGGACCTCCGCTCCGCTTACAAATCTATATGCCTCTTTTCGCCTTTCGCCCGCACAATAGAGAGAGAGAGAGAGAACATTACTTTCATTCATCCATCCTTCTTTACACATTCATTCCTCGGACTTCCGTTTCCGCCGCATATTCCTTCCTTCCTTCCATATCTCCATTCATTCCTAACCATCTCCCTCCCTCTCTTATTTCATCAAACCCTTTTATCCAAAACTCTCCCTCTCCCCCCTCCCCCAAAACCCTCCAAAACCTCATTCACCATCTCTTGCCATCCCTTTTCCACCCCTCACTCTGTACATTCCTCCCATATATGCTCCCATGTTTCCTCCCCCCTTCCACATATCCTAGACTTTCTTCTTTCTCCCCCTCCTAGTATTTACTTCCTCTCATGCCATCTCCTAATCTATAACTCGTCACCCTTTTCCATCTTTCCTCCTTCCATCTCTCCTCAAGTACTCCAGCACTCCCTTTCCCTTCACCCAACTATACCATCTATTATACCTTGATCTCCTAATTTTTCCCACCTTTCCTTTTCCTGCCACTTCCTCTTTCTTCTTATTATCTCTTCCCCCCTCAACTCTCCTTTTTCTCTCATCTTTTCCACCTCCCTTATACTCCAACTCTTTTCTTCGTAAAAATCCCTCCTTTCCTCCTCCCATTTTCCCATTACTTTTCCTTCTTTTGCCCTATCCCTCATCTCTTCCCAACACATCCTCGCCAAATCCCCTCCTCCTCCTTCACTCAGTTTCTTTTCATAACTCCACGCTCTCATTCCCGCCCTTCCCCTTAACTTTTCCCTCTGTATTTCTTCCCTTACCATGTATCCCGGTGTGCACTTCCCAACTCCTAGTATCCATTTTATATACCTGTCTTGTATCCTCTCCACCCTCTCCCTCTCTTTCCATCCCCAAATTTCCACTCTATAACTAATCACCGTTCACATCAATCTATCAAGTAGCCACATCCTTCTAGCCCAATCCTTTCCAAACTTCCTTTTTCCTATCCCCCATACCTCCCTCATTACCACCGCTCCTTTCTTAACTCTCTCCTCTATATGCTCCCTTTGACCTCCATTTGTCATCATTATATATCCTAAGTATATGTAACTTTTCACTTTCTCTATTTCCTTCCCTTTCCATTTCCACACCATCTTCCTTTGCCTCTCCCCCCTCCTCTTCTACACCTCATCACTTTCGTTTTTTCCACATTTACCTCCAAACTCCTCTGTTCTACATATCTTTCTAGTGTCTTTATCATTCATTTCATTCCCGTTTCCTCCTCCGCCACCATTGCTATATCATCTGTATATGCCAAAGAAAATATTTTCCTTCCCTTAACCATTACACCCTACTCCCCATCCTCCCTTTTCCAACTCCTCATCCAAATCCGCCAGCAGCAGAGTAAATAAGCATGGACTCAATGGACACTCCTGTCTCACTCCTTTCCTCGTCCAGAAACTTTTTCCTTCCCTCTCCCCCACCCTCACCCTACTTATCGTCTCCTCTAAAATTTCCTCACATCTCACGACTAAACCCTCTCTTACCCCTTTCCTCCTCATCATCTGTACTAATTTCTCCCTAACCACCGAGTCAAACGCCGCTTTCAAGTCCACGAACAAAACTACCATCTTTCCCTTCCTTTCTGCCACTCTCCTATTTATTATAGAGTTCAATACGTAGATCTGATCCATTGTCCCTACCCCCTTCCTAAAACCGGTTTGACTCGGTGGCAGTATCCCTTTATTCTCCACCTCCATCCTCAACCTCTCTGCCAACACCGTGGCGTATATCTTATACGCCGTTTGCGTTCACGTCACCTCTCTATAGTCCTCTACCCTCTCCCTCTCCCTCCTCTTCACTATCGGTACCACAACCCCCTCCCTCCATTCTTCTGGCCACCCCTCCCCTTTCCACGCCTTGTTACATAACTCCCACAACCATTCCCGAACCTCTTTTCTCCCCATATTTTCACACTTCATTTACTATTCCATCCCCTCCCGCCGCTTTTCCATCCTTCAGTTTCCTTATCGTCACTCCAAACTCCTTCCTACTTATCTCCTCTTCTTTCTCTTCCCCTCTCACCTTCACCTCTCCTCTTATCCTCCATTCCACACCTCCCAGTACACCTCTGAAATGCCCTTCCCATTCCCTCATTTCTATCCCTCCCTTGATTCTCTTTCTCTTTTTCCTCCCTTTATTCACTACTCTCCATACCTCCCTTTCCGTCCTCACTCCCTCTATCTCCCTCTCCCATCTTTCTCTTTCCTGCCTCTTCTTCCCATTACAAAGTTCCTTATATCCCTTTCTCATCTCTCTATATCCCTCCCCCTCTCCCTCCTATCATCCACTTCTTCAGCTCCTTACTTACTTCTCTTTTCATGTTCCTACATTTCTCATCCCACCATCCTCTTCGTTCCTTTTTCTCTTCTCTCTCTACTCTTTCTACTGCCCTTTCTACTCTCCTCTTTATCATCCTCCATTCCTTTTCCACCCCCTTATACTTCTCTTCCCTCTTCCCGAAGTATTCCTC